CTCCACTGCCCCGGGCCAGTGAGCGCCCAACTTGAAGAACAAACGTGTGCAGCACCTACAGGAGGCTCACACTCAGCCGTCTGCCACGTGGCTGCTGAGCACACCCTGGGTGTGCTTGCCCTGTGGCAGTGTGGAGGAGAATGTAGAATATAGACCTACAGGTGGCATCTGTGAAAACTCATCGTGCATCCAGGGCAAAATAATGTTAGAAAAAGCTTTTCCAGGCTGGGGAAACTTAAATGGCAGGAAGATCCAAATCAGGGTAAAATTAGGAGAAATGCTGTGAAATACTCAGCAGTGTTACTGCAGAACAAGGAAACGAGAGCGTCTCTTGAGGCTGCAGCACAGAGAATATTCCTGGAGTATCACCACCGCTCTTTTGATGGGGCTCGGCGCCACTGGCAGTGAGAGGTCAGCAAGCAGTGCAAGGCAGATGAACAGAAGTGGCTCCGAGGAAGGGAGCATTGTTCCTGGTACAGACCCAATCATTTGAACAGGGTGAGAGAGCTACAGGGCATGACGGGAAAGAAGGGACAATTTGCGTGCGCCATTGTAGTGCAAGAGGAAGCTTCACGCTCAGGGTCTCACGCTCAATTTGTAGTCAGCCTAGAGAGTCGGTATATTTGGAGTTGCTAAAGCTACAGAGTACCAGAAATAGTTTTCGGCCTTCACCTCCCACCCCGGCTGGACTTCATTTGTAACTCCTTCATTGTGAAAGCCGAGGAAGGGCAAAACACAAATCGGTTACTTCTGCAACATCTGGTAAGGAAGGTGTGGGAATGACTGAGCTCCTGGGTAGTGAGGATGCAAGATGTCCTGTGCTCTGTGCCCACCCCATTCCCACTCTTCCTTATCTCAGATGAGAGGGCTGCATAACAATTCCTCCCACTCATAAACCATCTTTCTTGTGAAACATTTGATGTTTTAAATGTGTCGACAGCCTTCTTATCTGTATTACAATTTAAAGAATCTTTCCAAAATATTTAAAGAATCAGAGAGACCCCACTGGTCCGGGAGGTAATGATTCCACTGTGAGGCAAGTGACCAGGCTAATGGGTTCTTGCATCCCAATGACATCATGATCCCAGAAAATGAATGGAAAATTCTAGAGGTGGCTACCTACTGTAGGATTTCATTTATACGACATTCTGGAAAACATAAAACTAAAGGTAAGCAAAGCTACATCCTTTTAAACCTTGAAAGTTACCCCCAAATCTCAATATAGTCAAAAGTGGGAAAGTCATAGGGGCCACATTTTCTAATCAGTGCAAAAATATATATAAGCTAATGACAGGCTAGTCAAGAAATTAAAAATAAACTTCTGAAAAACCTTGGATAAAAAGAAATCTGAGCTTACATTTGATCTGAGTTCTTTGGATTAAACAGTAGTGCCACATATCAGAACTCATAGTTATGATCAAAGCAGTAATTGGATTAAAATGTGTAGCCCAAAATGCATTAATGAGAAAACAGCAATGATGGAAAATAAATCAACTAAGAATTTAGTGCCAGAGGTGAGGGAGAAAGCTAACAAAGTAGTTTTCGAGAAAGTTAGATAAATAAAGAATAATGGAAATGAAAACAGAAGTTCATGAAATTTACAGTGATAAAAATAAGTTATTTTACCAGCAAAAACAGGTTTATTCAAGAATAGCAGAGAATTACAATTTAGGACAGGCAAGCCATGGCAAAAAAAACTGTAGGCTAGTCCCCAACAAAGGACAGGAATGTTGTTGTATGGAGAAGGAGGAAGCTAAGGGAGGGGCTGTTTTGGAAAAAAATGTCCATTTGAGAAAAGCAAGAGTTCAGGGTGATGAGGGTTTCTCATTGGCTGGGTTGCTGGGGTAGTTGATTTCTTGGAGGAGATGCAATGTGTATCTTTTCCTGTTGTGGCCTGTAATTGATGATTCTTTCCTGTTGGGGATTCTTCAGTTGGAGTGTGTAATTGGCAATTCTTCCTGTAATTGACATCAACTGGTAAGGGGTGAGAGCTCCTCCTTCTGGTCTCCCGACTCCATTTTAGTGAGGTTTCCCTTTATTAATTTTCATACACTCATGATCCACAATGGAGAACTGCCCAATGGGAAAATACTTCGAAAGCCAAGGTGTGTTAAAGAAAAAGGAACTCAGAGGCTGTATAGATGGAGTTGAAATTTGGGTTGCCCTCATGGGAAGTTGGCCTCTCTAGTTTCCTTATACATTGGTTTAACTTTCAGGGCCCTGAACTGTCCCCTGATGGTAGGATCATCTTCTAAGAATTGCTGAGGATGGTTCTGAATTTATGCCCTCTAAGGTTCTTGGTTCTCCTTCATTGGCATCTTGTCTATGAGTCTGTACCCTTGTCTATGATTCTAACAGGTCTTAGGCCTTAAGAAGGAAGGTTTTTTTTCATACAGTAGTTGATGTGTCATCATATTCCCAATGTGTAATTCAAAAATGACTGTTTTCAGAGGTTGGAAACTATAATGAAAATAAACAGCTGTTGATGATCATCCAAGCACCAAGTTTAAGTTTACCAGAAATAACTTTTCTGTGCTAATTAAGGTCAGGTTATATTTTTTTCTAACAAGATACTACTTTTGATTCCAAATTACTAAAAGCGTATGATCAAGATTAAGAGTTTGCCTTGGCTTTTGCTTGAACTTTGAAAGAATTCTCTTAAATGCCAGGTTCCTAGGAATTGGGAAAAGCCATGTTTGAGTAGAATTATCTTTTGGTTAAAATCTGACTATTTAATAAATTGTCAACCTAGGTTATTCCCATTTCCTCAGGCTGCTCTTTAAATGCCATAAATTATAGAATAAAGCCTCTGAGGTCACTGACATTGGTTTTGTATTCATAGAACTTCTCAAACAAAGGCAGGCAGTCACTGGGGCATTATGCCTGTGACATCCCCACACGCACTGAAATGATGCCCAGCAGTCCATGCCATATACATGCCTAAAGAGGAAAACAATAGCAAAGATAAAGGAGCACTGACTCCATGGTATTTAGAGAGAATTAATGGAAATGAAATGTGTACAGAGTTCTCCCACAGATACAGTAAAGGCAAAGGAAAAAAGATACATGAAGCTAGTTCGGCTAATCAGATCATATGCCAGTGTCTGAAAGGACTAGCTAAGCTAATACATACCAATGGTATATTTAAAAAATCTTGTAAATAGGTAGCATTCATTCAGTATATGTTTTTAGGGACGCCTGGGTGGCTCAGTCGGTTAAGCGTCTGCCTTCGGCTCAGGTCATGATCCCAGGGTCCTGGAATTAAGCCCCACATCGGGCTCCTTGCTCAGCAGGGAATCTGCTTCTCCCCCTCCCTCTGCAGCTCCCCCTGCTTGTGCACTTGCTCTCTCTCTGACAAATAAATAAAGTATTTATAATACATGTTTTTAGGCCTCATATTAATCAGCTATCACGTTGAAAAATTAAGTCTCTACAAATATTTTATGACCCTAAATATACAACTCTCCCAGAAGCAATTACACTTTTGTCTTTCAAACAAGCAGGCAGTAACTTAAAGCATCGCATTCTGACAGTGGTAAGATGACTATTAATAATGAGTTTCAGTAAATTTGCAAACTAGATGAAATGGATGGATTTTTTACAGGAGATGAAAAATATATTGACTCAAAGAAAGGAAGAAAATGAAAAAACAAATGAAAGAAAAAACTGAAAATATAGTCAACAAGCCACTCTTGAGAGATTTCAGTAATTTTACCGGCAAATTCTGCAAATCTTCACGACAGACAAAAATAATTTCCTAATAAAGATAGATAGGGGTGCCTGGGTGGCTTAGTCAGTTGGGCATCCAGCTCTTGGTTTCTGCTCAAGTCGTGATCTCCGGGTCATGAGATCAAGCCCCACGTCGGCGCCATGGAGTCTGCTTCAGATTCTCTCCCTCCTTCTCCTTCCCTGCCCCTCCCCCCCAACCTCGTGCACATAAATTAATTAAGTCTTTAATCTTAAAAAAAGATTGATTGGTTTTTTAAAACTCCTTATCAATCTCAGCGGTATAATAAAAGAATAACCATCTTTTAGACCCAAGAAGAGTTTACTTAGTAAGGTAAAGTTGATTCAAAATCAAGACATTCATTAATCTCATTTACTTCATTCACTATTCAAAAGGGAAAATTCATATTCTTAATAGATTCATATTCTCAATAGATTTTTTAACTGATAGAATTTAACATTTTAAAAACTTAAAGAAAATTTTCAAACATACTTAAGTGTACAGAGAAAGGGGACGCCTGGGTGGCTCAATCAGTTAAACATCTAACTCTTGATTTCAGCTCAGGTCATGATTTCAGGGTTGTGAGATGGAGCCCAGGGTTGGGCTTAAGATTCTCTCTCCCTCTCCCTCCCCACAGCTTGCATCCTTGCTATCAAAAAAAGTTTTTTTTGTAGAGAGGAAGGTATAACAAAGTCCATGTGTTAATGACACAATCCAACAATATCAATATTTTGCTAATATTTAATATTCAGATTTTATTATCACTTTTTGCCTTTTCTCACACTTTCCTATTCCACCATGGCTCAGCAGGGCATAAATCATCAAGACTAACTACCCTCCACTGAACATTCCAGCACCTAGTAATTGAGTGAAAACCATTGTTATTCATTTAGAGATTTTAGCACTGAGAGGAGATAGGTTGCTCGGAGATTTTATAGGAATAGCATACATTTCTTGTTTATCCAAAGTTCTAAATGATTGAAGATGTCAGCGTTACTAAACCACATGTCAGGTTTCCAAGAAACCATACAAGAAATTCTAATGTTAGAGGAAAAATTAAATAGATTATGAAGCTGAGTTGAAACTCTATGAAGATGAACTGAAACATGGAACACTGAGAAAAGAAAGGAAGAATTGTAAGTGAGGAAAATACTTAACAACCATGACTAGTCCAAGAAATATGAAAAGAACATAATCATCCAGCATTATTCAATGTGGAAGAACAAACTAGAAACATTACAACTGTATACAGTGCTGTAAATTTTAATACAATGTCAGTCACGTGCACCTCTCATCTTGTCTGATAAAAGACTTCCGTGTTCAAAAGAAGACAATGCCTTATATATATATATAATCCTTTCCGGAACCATCAGTAAGGTGTAAGGCCTGCAATAGGTGCATGGATAAGCAAATTGTGTACATCTAGACAATGGAATACTCAGAAATTTTTTAAAAAGGAATGAATGATTGATATACATAACCATCGTGAAATAATCAGGCTGAGTAAAGGAAGCCAGCCAAAGAAGATTCCGTTTGTATAAAATTCTTAAAAAATGCAAATTAACAGATGGTGGGAGAAAGTAGATCAGTGATTGTTGAGAACAGGCAGGAGCGGATGAGGGGGGCCTGCGGGAGGGAGTCCTCAGGGGTGTGAGGACGCTTGCGGTGGATAATGCGTTCATGATTGTAGTGGTAGTTTCACAGGTCTGTGCGTGCCAAAACTTATCAAATTATGCCCTCTAAACAGTATGTGCAGACTGTATGTTTGTTCCACCTTAATAGAGCTGTTTTAAAATGTGTAAGAAGAGACTTGGATGTCATTTGCCTTTGATTTCTGAAGGCTGCCTTTAGTCATGAGCAGCCCTACGATGTTCTCTCAGAGGAGTTTGCTCACTAAATCATTAAGTCTTCCCAGGATTTACAAACATGAGGTGTGTACAAGCAAATAAAATGTGTTAACTAATAAGATACGCAGGAGGGGGCAGGTGGCGCCTGGGTGGCTCAGTCAGTTGGGCAGCTGACTCTTGGTTTCGCTCAGGTCATGATCTCGGTGTCCTGGGATTGAGCCCCGCAGTGGACGCCACGCTGAGCTCGAGTCAGCTTGAGAGTCTTTCTCCTGCTCCTCTTGCCCCTCCCCCCCCACTCACACTATCTCTTAGTAAAATAAATAAATAATAAGATAAGCAGGCACAACTTATTTTGTACTATGTAACTAATAGAAGAAAATATGCTTAACTCCGTAAAACTGTCTTCTTCCAGAAACCTCCAGCACACATTACACATATGGGCAAAGTGCCATCAGTCTTCTCATTAAAGTCATGAAGAAGTCAAAGGTACCTACAAGTACTGCTACTTTTCAGTATTTACAGATCTTCCTGGCCAATGAAATAAGACCAAGGCAAGGAAGCATCTTGGACTTGGAAAGGTACAGAAAGTAAACCGACAAGTGTGACTATTTATAGACCATATGATCATCCGCCTAGAAAACCCAAGAGGATCAGTAGAAAGACTACTAGAATTAACGAGAGAAGTCAGCGGGGAGGCCAGATAGAGTACCCTTAGCCTTCCTATGCACCAAAATAACTACTTAGAAACTTGAAGTGGGGAAGTATTTACAATGCAAAAACAGATCCATAAAATACTCAGAAATAAACCTATCAAAAATGTGCAGGACCTGTTTGAGGAAAGTCTTCAAAATCTACCAAAGAGAGGCTCTCAATGAACACGTATTTCATGTACTGATTGGGAAGACCCAGTGTTGCAAAGATGTTGGAAAAGTAGTCCCTTGAAACCCGCAGATGTTACCACGTCACAGTCCTTCCTTCTGGGAAGCTATTGGGATTTTTTTTCTTGTTAAAGAGACCAGTTGCATCAGTAGCTCGTAGAAAATAATTGCTTGGGGCATCTCCTGCTCCCGGCACCTTTGTTTGGAGGCTGTGCTGGCTCATCCTTGCCCCTCAGTGTCCTGAATGAAGGGAAACCATCGTGTCTCTGCTGCAATGGCGCAGATGCCTGGAGGAGCCCCAGGTTTCCACCCTAGGGGCATTAAAGGGGGCTTGTCTCCCCACGACGTGAGCTGGACAGATGTCTGTCTCCACCCTTTGAACAAGTGAGCCGCCTCAGTGCGGGCATCCTGGACTGCTCCGGCTGGGCACTGTGGACGGGAGTTGTGAGCGTTGTTCCGGCTGTGGAGGAAAGGACGCTAAACACTTGACTGCGTCTCTCTTGCACTCTTGGAGCTACATCCTGGATAAAGGGCTACTCCAGAGGATTCATCCTGATTTGGCAGGTACTCAAACGGATGTCATTTCTCATAAACAGACATATAAATTCAATGTGGTCCTACTCGAAATCCCAGCATGGTATTTCTGGACCTAGAAAAGCTGATTCCAAAATTTAACTGGAGGAGAAAACAGACATGAACAGCCAAAAACAATTCTTTTTTAAACTTGTGAAGAGAACTTCACCTACCCAATATAAAAACATATACGAAAACTATAATCATTAAAACAAAGTCCAGGGGCACCTGGGTGGCTCAGTCAGTTACATGTCTGCCTTCGGCTCAGGTCATGATCCTAGGGTCCTGGGATCAACTCCCGCATCGGGCTCCCTGCTCAACAAGGAGCCTGCTTCTCCCTCTGCCTGCCGCTCCCCCCCACCCCCGCCCCTGCTCGTGCTATCTCTCCCTCTGACAAATAAAATCTTTCAAAAAGTCCAATAGAATATAAGAATTGGTAATAGTAGGAAGAGCTAAATCTACTGCTGGAATAGAAGAACACATCCAGAATTTAATCCCAAAGTCCTATTAAAGGTTCTTTAATGTAGCTTTGGTATTTTTTGCTTTTACTTCATCGACATTTGAATCACAGCATCAAATAGAAAAGTGCACTCGGCAATTTCTTGTTCTTACGTTGCTTTTATGCTTCTCTCCTTTAGCCATTCTCATGGTCTTCAGAAAAAGGGGAGGTTGAAGGGCGTAGACCTTGTTTGCAATGGCTTGCGGTCCACTGGGACAGGCCAAGGGGACTGTCTCTGCAGATGGCAGGACAGGTCAGAGCAGGCCAGGGTCCCCAGCCCTCCCTTGCTTCCTGGGAATAATTCAGCAACACTAAGTAGCAGGTGGGGGTCTGGGTGCTTTGCACATATTGGAGCGGCATAACTTCTTCAAGGTTTCACAGCTAGTTAAGACTTGGACCTGTTAGTTAGTGGGGTCTCAGAACCCGACGGCCTCCCAGGACTTCTGTCCTCCCTCTTGGGACGTTTCCTCTTACTGCCTTGTTAACATGCCTGCCATGCTGGCCTGGCTTCCTCCCACATGTATGCTCTGGCCCACAGTGCTCACACAGTCATGCCTTGTGGGCATCCCTAACTCAACTGTCACCCGGGACTGCTCCCTGGCAGTTCAGCCCAGAGGAAACATCAGGCCTGCAAAATGCCCTCATCGTAGCTGTCACCGCCATGGCTTCCCATAGGTGATGTCAGTGTTTGTCTGAGTCCTCTCCTGACCTGGAAGCGCCTTAGAGCAGGGACTCCGCCATTCGTCCTTTTATTCACAGTGATTGGCAGATGCTAGACAGGAAACGTTGGCTCTAGAAAGGGATGATAAGCACCAAATTTTGCCAGAATTCTCAGAAATGACCTGGAGAGAGTCATAATTGCATCTGTTCAGCGGTCCAGACAACTGACTCTTTGGCCTTGTGTGGTGGTAACTGGCCCCCCTTTTGCTTGCACGGTTGCAGCCCATGCGATCTGAGCGGACGGAGATGCGGAAACGGCAGATGCCTGCAGCCCAGGAGACCACGGACTCCACGCCAGGCCAGCCCGGGGCGGGGGACCGCGGGTCCAACACCTGCTGCTTCTGCTGGTGCTGCTGCTGCAGCTGTTCCTGGTAAGGTCGGGCCTTTTCCGTCTTGCCCTCCTGACGGGCACATGCGTGTCCCTGAGTAGTGCCAGCTTATGATTAACTCTCTAGGCATTTTTGGTGTTATTTTTTTAATATTTATTTGAGAGAGGGAGCGAGCACGAGTGGGAGGGGCAGAGGGAGAGGGAGAGAGAATCTCAAGCAGACTCCATACTAAGTGTGGAGTCCAATGTGGGGCTCAGACTCACGACCCTGAGATCATGACCTGAGCTGAAAGCACGAGTTGGACGCTTAACTGACTGAGCCACCCAGGTGCCCCCATACATGTTTTTAAACAACTACTATATGCCTGACACTGATTTGGGATCTGAAGGACAACAACAAACACACACACACACACACACAAAGGGGCTCTGTATTCCAGCTCAAGGGATTTCTATTCAAATCCCTGAAATCAGGTTAGTGTGTTAAACAACTAAAGAATAGTCTAAGGCCGCTGGTGATCAAATATTAATATTTGGGCAGAAACAATAACTAGATGGTTAGAAAGGAGTGAACTCAAGGCAGTCTACTTGGTAATAAAGGCTTTGTAGAGGAGTTAGAATTTAAGGTGGGTCTTAAAGGTTAAGGTTAAGTAGAGGGTGCCTGGATTTTATCTTCTGCTTTTCTTTCATGAATGTCATGTTTTCATAAAGAGAAATGTCAAAATATATGCTTAACAGAAGAATATAAAAATGTAGGCTAACTTACTGGTACAGTAAGATACACAATCTTTGCTTCAAAAGAGAGATACACAACTTGAATGGAAAGTATCCTTGACCATTTGAGTCACTGTCAAAGGTCTGGAGAAATTGTATAGAGTTTACACCTAGAAATCATAGGAACGTTAAGTGGCATTTCTGAAATCTTGGCTACAAGAAGTGCTTATGCCCACTAAATGTGTGCCTAACTTTAGGCAACTAAATTATTGTATGTTTATGTAGTCTTGACCACAAGTTGGACCAAGCCCTCACTCCCCAGAAGAGAACATGACCAAGTGATAGCACAGCTATCAAAAACAGTGGCGGGACTGTTAGAATTGGGGCGAAGCAGGTGGAGGCTGATATTAAATGTCCAGGAAAATTTGGTCTCTTGCTTGATTTGAGCTAGTGTTAACTTCCAAGAAGTCCCCATCCGGTGGATGGGGCCCAGCAATACCACACTCTGAGGCCTGCTGGAGTCATGATGGTGGGTGCTTGGCCTGTTCAAAGCAAAACCCCAGACGGAAAGTGGGAATATGAGGGACGTGGGAGCCAAGCAGTCTGGCGCTCCCGCAAGGCTTCAGCCCCGAGTAGGCATCTAAAGGACTCGGCAGGAAACCGGAGGAGAGGCCCATGTTTGCACACCATACACACGTGGGTGTCCAGGACCCTCCCTAGACCGGGAGGATACTCCCCAGCGGTGACGGGGTTTCATTTCAGCCCCTCTTCCAGTCTTTCACTCCACTCATCAGTTTCAGTGAGGTAATTAGAGATGATTGTGTGAGAGTTGGGCAGAGATATCTTGGTGCGGAGAGACTCCTGTTGACCCCGTCCCCCTCCCTTCTCTGTTGCCTCAGAGGGACACAGGAGGCCGAGATGGTGGCCTGAACAATGTACAGCACTGACGGTGTGAGTGAGCATAGCAGATGGTGGCTGCCGTTTCCAGAGCAGGCTCCTTCTCTTGGCACCAGCTAGGGTGAATAAATGACGGAGCTGTGCTTAGACATCATCATCATCATAGCCAACACTCCTGCAGCACATACTGTGTGTGTACTTAACAGACAATAGAGCAATGAGAAACAGTGTTGAATTGTTACATTGTACACTGAAACTCATACAACACTGTATGTTCATCGTGCTTCAATTAAAAGAATACAATAGAGAAATGTCTTCAAAGAACTGGAGAAAAGTAATGGAAAACTTAGTCAAACTATAATTCAAGAGTGGGGGGTAAAACAAGACATTTTCAGACATACAAAGGCCAAGAGAGCTAACGGTCTTCAGACCTACCCTAAAAGAACAAGAAAGGGTGTACTTCGGGAAGAAAAAGTGAACCCAGAGGACACGTCATGGGAAGCAAGTAACAATCATGGACACAAACTGATCAAATATAAAACATATTTAATTTTAAAAAGAATCCAACATTGTAAGCAAATAATCTCATGTTCATGGTAGACAAATGAGGTAACTTCAGACTTCCTTAGGAAAAAAAATTACATTTTCTTTCCAAATTAATGGTATTCTTGATTAGTTAGAAGTATAACAGACAGTTTCCACATCGATGGAAGACAGTAAAATATAGAGAACTAAAAAAAAGAAAGAAAGAAATATAGAGAACTATCAATATAGGACAAAAGTGATTTTAACAAAAGAGAATGAACTATTTTATAAATACCAAGATACTTGGTATTAGGGTGACCAGCTCATCCCAGCTGCCTGGGACTGTCTTGGTTTTAGCACTGAAAAGTCCTATGCCCCAGAAAGCCCATGAGTTCCGGGCAAACCAGGAAAATTGGTCACCCTACCTGGTATCCAAATCCACAAAAATACTTCTATTCCTATATTGCAGCTCATGCAAAACCCAATCTCTCCCTACAAAAAAACCCCAAAAAAAACAAAAAAAAAAAAAACAAGATCAATTCCAGATGGTTTAAAGCCCTAAATGTGGGTAGCCAAGAATAAAATACAGGATATATCTTTCTGATCTTGGTATTGGGAAGAACTACTTTTTAAAAAGATCCATAAATCTGACTACATTAAAATATAAAAATGTGTCTAACGAGAGATAGAAACATATTCTACATAAAGACTTATACATGAATATGTATAGCAGTGTGATTAATACTAGCCAAAAAGTAGAAGCAACCCAAATGTCTATCAGCTAATGAATGGAAAAACAAAATGTGGTATATCCATACAGTGGAATATGATTTGACCATAAAAGGTGTGAAGTATTGAAACTGCTAAAACATAGATGAACTTTGAAAAGATGATGCTGGGCGCCTGGGTGGCTCAGTTGGTTGGGCGACTGCCTTCGGCTCAGGTCATGATCCTGGAGTCCCGGGATCGAGTCCCGCATCGGGCTCCCTGCCCGGCAGGGAGTCTGCTTCTCCCTCTGACCCTCCTCCCTCTCATGCTCTCTGTCTCTCATTCTCTCTGTCTCAAACAAATAAATAAAAAAAATCTTTAAAAAAAAAAAAAGAAAAGAAAAGATGATGCTAAGTGAAAGGAGACAGACACCAAAGAACATATACTGTATGATTCCATTTATGTGAAATGTCTAGAACAGATAAATTCACAGAGACAGAAAGTAGATTAGCAGCAGTTCCCTGGGCCTAGGGGAAATGGGTGCGGATGTGTACAGTTTCATTTTGCAGTGATAAACTGTTCTAAAATCATGGTGATGGTTGCACAGTTGTATGAATAAACTAAAACCGTTGACTTGTACCATTTAATTTGTGAGTTTATGGTGTGCAAATTATATCTGAATAAAACTTTTTAAAATGTGTTTAACAAAAGATCAGAAGTAAAATGAACAGATAGAACATACTGGGAGAAGATAGTTACAAGGCATTTAGCAAACAAAGAACATAAACCTAGAACATATAAAAAAGAACTTATAAGAATATAATAACCAAAAGAAAAATAAACAAATGAAATGAAACAAAACATAATCCACTTGTGCTCCTACCAACAAGGATCGGATATGTGAAAGCTAAATATATAGCCTTCTAAATATAATACTCTACCCTAAAAAAACCTCTTGCACATAGGCAAAAAGAGACCTGTATGAGAGGATTCACTGAAGCATTAATCTGATTGAGAAAAATTGAAATATCTCTAAAGTTCATGAACAGAGAATGGATAAATATATTGCAGTGTAGTTATACAATGCAATACCACACAGCATTTAAATGCATGTGCTGGAGGGAAAAAAAAAATGTGGGGCACTTGGGTGGCTCAGTTGGTGAAGCATCTAACTGTTGATTTGGGTTCCGGTCATGATCTCAGGATTGTGGGATCGAGCCCCAAGTCGGGCTCCATGCTCAGCGTGGAGTCTGCTTGGAATTCTCTCTCCCCTCTCCCCCTCCCCGTCCCTCTGTCTCAAATAAATAAACAAAATCTTAAAAAAAAAAAAAAAAGATACACAGGGCACCTGGGTGGTTCAGTCAGTTAAGCGTCTGCTTTCAGCTCAGGTCATCATCCCAAGGGTCCTGGGATCGAGTCTCGCTTGGGCTCCTTGCTCCGCAGTGAGCCTACTTCTCCCTCTGCCTCTCTTTCTGTCTCTCTCTTTGTCTGTCTCTCATGAATAAATAAATAAAATCTTTAAAAAAAAGAAAAGGTACACAGCAAACTTTAACTGTTTCAATGTTTAACTTCTTTGATTTTTTTTCTCAGTATGCTTTTGAGACTTATCCATGTCAATAATACATAGTAGAGGCAATTTTTAAGAAAAGAAAAAGGAAATATGTTTTCTAAGCCCTTGTATTATCTTTCTCAAAATTCTGCTTCATGGTCTTCTGGCATTTTGTTTTATCAAAGAAGTCATGCTGATGCTGAATTTCTTAAAAATAAACTTTTTTTCCTTTGTAAAAGATTGAAGAACTTTTTCCTCTTTGTAGCTCAAAAATTTACCAAAATATGTCTAACCATGGGGCTCCTTTTACTGACTAGCTCTTAAACATGATGAGCAACTATTTTAGCTTCCAGCAACCTTTTCTTGTTCTACTATAACAATAACAATACACTCAGGTTAAAAAATTGACACAAAATATATTTTTCACTTTTTTAAGAACACATTACCTCACTGAGAAATATTCTTACTTTTAAAAAATAAGACATGGAAAAATGTCAAAGCTTAAATAAAGATTGTATTATTTAATTCACAATGTAATTTCCAGTTCTCTTAGAATCTTGTGTCAAATTCATCCTTTCTTTTTCTCTTTGATTTTTCTTACCCATTGTGTACTGATGTTTTCTGCTTACAAAAGAAGCCTAAGAAGTCAGGCAGTATTAATGCTCCTGCAGCGAGAACACCCTCCAGATGCCTCTTAAGTTATTTTTGTTTCAAGAAACCATTATTTACTGAAACTGGCATCATGAAAGCAACAAGTCAGAAGAGTTCCTGCATTTCTAATGACTTTGCATTAACGAAAAACAGAGCTGCACACACGCACAATTATGAAAATCCATAAAGCAAACGTGCTATAAAACTAGGCTGAATTACTCTTCTAAAATGGTGGAAAGAGTGGAAAGGAAAGCTATAATAAAAGAAATAGAAGAGTACAGGAGCAATAGATAAAGCAAACTCAAATAACCAATATAAAAAATCCATTTTGAAATCAGTGGGGAACTAAAAGCATTCCTCCTGAAAGCAAGAACAAGGCAAGGATGTCTGTGCTTTCCCCTCCTGTCTAACATTGTATTTTAGCTATCAGTTGATGCAGTTGGACAAGAGAAAACAATGTGAGGCCTAAGAATCAGAAGAGAAGTGTTAAGACTCTCCCTATCTGCAGAAGATATGAGAGTATACCTGGAAATCCCAAGAGAATGGTTGCTAAACTAATGCAAACAAAATAATTCAATAGGAAGAAAGATACAGAATTAGTGTAAAAAAAGAATAGCCTTCAGAATATAAAGAACTCTTACAATTCAAAAATAAAAAGACAAACCAATTTATAAGTAGGCCAAAGAGGGACGCCTGGGTGGCTTAGTCAGTGGAGGATCCAACTCTTGATTCTGGCTCAGGTCATGATCTCAGGGTTGTGAGATCGAGCCCCAAGTTGGGCTCTGCGCTCAGCAGGGAGTCTGCTTAAGATCCTCTCTCCCTCTCCCTCTGTCCCCTGCCCCCACTCTCTCTCTCTAAAATAAATAGATATATCTTTAAAAACACACACACACATTTAGGGGCACCTGGGTGGCTCAGTCGTTAAGCGTCTGCCTTTGGCGCAGGTCATGATCCCAGGGTCCTGGGGTAGAGTCCCGCATTGGGCTCCCTGCTCAGTGGAGAACCTGCTTCTCCCTCTCCTCCCTGCCTGTGTTCTCTCTTGCTATCTCTGTCTCTCTCTTTCTCTCAAATAAAATCTTTTAAAAAAATTTTTAAAAGATATTTAAATAAAAATAAAATAAGTCAAATTAAAAAGTAAAAGTAGGGGGGCACCTGGGTGGCTCTGTCGGTTAAGCATCTGCTTTCGGCTCAGGTCATGGTCCCACGGAGCCTGCTTCTCCTTCCCTCTGCCTACCGCTCCCACTGCTTGTGCTTGTGCTCGCTCTCTCTGTCAAATAAATAAAAATCATTAAATAAAAAATAAAGTAGGCGAAATATCTGAGTAGACAGGTCTCCAAAGAAGACATACAAAGAGCTAATAAATACATGAAAAAATACTCCATCTCATCAGCCATTAGCAAAATGCAAGTCAAAACCACAATGAGATAGTACTTCCTACCCCCCGAGATGGTGAGAATAAAAAAGACAGACACTAACAAGTGTTGGCAAGGATGTGGAGAAACGTGAGTCCCTCCAGCATCGCTGGTAGGAGTATAAAACGGTGTGGCTGCTTTGGAAAACAGTTTGCGACTTCCTCAAAATGTTAAAAATAGAGTTACCATAGGAAGGCATTTCCACTCCTAAGTGTCTACCCAAGAGAAATAAAAACAAACATCCACAGACAAAACCTGTACATGAACATGCACTGCAGAATTGTAATAGCCAAAAAGTGCAAATAACTTAGGGCACCTGGGTGGCTCAGATGGTTAAGCGTCTGCCTTCAGCTCAGGTCATGATCCCAGGATGCTGGGATCGAGCCCTGCGTCGGGCTCCCTGCTCAGGGGGGAGCCTGCTTCTCCCTCTGCCTGCCACACCCCCTGCTTGTGCTCTCCCGCTCTCTCTGTCAAATAAATAAAATCTTAAAAAAAAAAAAAAACTATTAATCTAAATGTAAACTCTCCCTCAACTAGTGTAGACCACAATATTATAATTTGTTTTGCTAATATTTTAGCATCATAAAGATACTTTTATTTATTTGAGAGTGAGTGAGCACGAGTTGGGGGCAGAGGCAGAGAGAGAGGGAGAAGCAGGCTCCCCGCTGAGTAGGCAGCCCAGTGGGGCTCCATCCCAGGACCCCGAGATCATGACCTGAGCTCAAGGCAGATGCTTAACCAACTGAGCCACCCAGGCGCCCCTAATTTTGGTTTCCTTAAGAAAACCAGTCAGGGTCAATGTTTTTCAAGAAAAGAAAGAAATTCTACTTGGTAATCTGGAGTTCCCTTTAAAATATTCCTTGATGCAGAATGATCTCAACTGACATATAAATGTTTTGTTTCATGCAGTCTTACTGTTAGAAACCAAAAAGAACAGAGACCCAGGAGGCCCTCCCATGAACTCAGACGAGAAGAGCTTCCAACCTGTGAAGAAAGGTAAATCTCGTTGTTTAGCTCACTAAATTGACAGAAATGCCAGCCTTATTGTTTTGATTTTTCATCATTGTAACAGTTTCTCTAACTGCAGTTTAATAATATCAAATCATAATGTGGCACCCCCTTTCCACTCTGTAGAGTTCACTGTGTGACAGGGAGAAAAATTAGTCTCATTATTAATTTCATCCCTGCTAATCACAAACATAAATTGATGCTTCCTGACAAAATATGGTGTTATCCTATTTTCGTATGATAGACTTTTTAAAATAAAAGACCATAATAAAACATACATGTTTGGTTTTCAGAAAGTTTTAAAAGTCCATTTTTTTTCTTAACTATATACTCTAGCTAATGTAGATTGTCTTAATTTAAGTATTTTTGGAAAAAAAAGTTGGGAAGAAAACACATAAATTGCTTTCCATAATGTCAGATTTTAAAATTAATCTCTTTTTGTTCCTGTATTATCAGTTGGCTTACTTTCGCTTACCTATTCTAATATCTTTTCTTGGTATTATATCTATATAATTACAGATACTGGACAAATATCCTAAAAACATTGTTCAAATAGGCCTTGTATTAAACTGCTAATTTTTGAGGGGAAAAAAACAAGTAGCCGAAAAGGTTACTTAAGTGTTTCTTTTTCATTCTTTATCTTATTGATCCTTACCCAGATTTTTCAAAGTCTGGGAAGCATATTAAAATCTTCCACAATTTGGGATGCCTGGCATGCTCCATTGGAGGAGCATGAGACTCTTGATCCTCAGGGTCATGAGTTCAAGCCCCATGTTGGGTGTAGAGATTTCTAAAAAAAATAAAAACTTTTAAAAAATCTTCCACAATTTCTGAGCTTGTTTAAAAATAGCTTTTATCAAGGGGCATCTAGGTGGCTCAGTGGGTTAAGCGTCTGCCTTAGGCTCAGGTCATGGTGGGGAGTCTGCTTCTCCCTCTGCTCCTCCCCTAACTTGTGGCTCACTCTTTCTTTCTCTCTCAAATAAATAAATCTCAAATAAAATTAAAAATTAAAAAAAATATTTTTTAAATAGCTTTTATCTTGAGGCACCTGGCTGGCTCAATTGGAAGAGCATGCAACTCTTGATCTCAAGGTTGTGAGTTCAAGCCCTATGTTGGGTGTAGAGATTACTAAAAAAAAATAAATAAAATTTTTTAAAAATGGCTTTTATCTTATATATTCCGGTATATTGTATTCTGTACTAAAGCTTTGAGGCTCTAGTATCTAAAACGAGAACGCCTCATTGAGGCCTGACGCTAACCATCCTGCCAGTGGGACCTTGGGCACCCCGGGATCATGACCTGAGCCCACGGCAGACGCTTAACCGACTGAGCCACTCAGGTGCCCCCCAGATTCCCCTTTGTATAAGATTATCAGTCCTAGGGGCGCCTGGGTGGCTCATTCGTTAAGCTTCTGCCTTCTGCTCAGGTCATGATCTCAGGGTCCTGGGATCGAGCCCCGCATTGGGCTCCCTGCTCAGCGGGGAGTCTGTTTGTCCCTCTCCCACTCGCCCTGCTTGTGTTCCCTCTCTCACTATCTCTCTGTGTCAAATAAATAAATAAAATCTTAAAAAAAAAAGAATATCAGTCCTGCTGGATCAGGGCTCATCTTAATCACCTCATCTTAACTTAGTTAAATCTACAAAGACTCTATTTCCAAATCTAGTCACATTCTGAGGTACTAGAGTTAGGACATCAGCATATCTTTTGGGGGGACATTATTCAACTCACAATACCCTCCTACAAAATAAACACTAGATCCAATGGATTTTACAGTTTGGTTCCACAAAGCAATTCTGGAATTAATCATTCCAAGGTTATATAGGTCGTGTATAACTACCGAAACGTCTCAGAAATCAATTCAGTAGGGATACCAAAACCAGATGAGGACAGTACAAGAATGGAGAGTTGGAGATAAATCCTGCGTGCTCAGGAACTCTGGCCACATACAGCCACGTGGGCGAATCTTAGACAGTGTTGGGTGATGAAAGCAAGTGGCAGAAGACAACATGGAGTCAGCCATTTTAAAAGTGAAGAAAAAAAAAACACTGAAGGATAGATATTCTTCAGGGATATCTACCTACATAAAAACAATGAAAAGAAAGGTAGGGGGAAGGAAATCATTTAATAGCGATCATTGTTGAACAGACGAAGCTTTCTGACCTCAATATAATTACAATATAAGTAAAAATAAACTAAACCAGGGTGAGTCCAAAGTCAAGCCTAGCAGTCCCTCAGGGTGGGGGAGTCAGGAGAGCAGGGTGCGGCCATGGGACCGCGGTAGGTGCGGCTGGTGGTGACCAGCTGGTTCTCACGGTGAGTGCTGAACTATAGTGTGTGTTTATTATCACCCTTTATAGCTTGCAGTTATATAACATAATCTTTCCCCTTTCTCTCTAAAATTCTCTTTCAAGTTTTAAAAAACCACGAAAAGAGACACAGCCGTGTGGCTGCTCTGGAAGGTGGTATGCTGAGGTCTGACGTACTTCTGTCACAAGTGACTGGGAAATCTTGGTCAGATGCTTCTGGGATTTTTCTTCACTGTTACAGTTGTAAGCTTTGCCAGGACTCATTGAGATGTGAACAAGTACGCTCTTGGCAGTTCTTCTAGAGATCGGCCTGCGAGCATTTGGCCAGCAGCCATGCACTCCAGCTAAACAACCTGAAGGGATCCCACTCGTGTGTTTTTGCCAAAGGCCGATGGAAATGAGCACAGCCCTCTCCCTTCCTAAAAGGGCCGAGGTGCACATTTTCATCCTCAGAAGGGAAAAAGGTTTGTTTCTAGTGAGGAAATGCAAAGTAACTACCGATAACCTAGCTCCCTCTCGCCCCTTCCTTTCCGTCTCCACTCAGCCCAAGTCCCACTCTGGAGGAGGTCAACGCCTGGGCTCAGTCCTTCGACAAGGTAATGCTTACTCCAGCGGGAAGGAATGCTTTCCGGGAATTCCTCCGGACAGAATTCAGTGAAGAAAATATGCTTTTCTGGATGGCATGTGAGGAACTGAAAAAAGAAGCTAATAAAACCATCATTGAAGAGAAAGCAAGGATAATCTATGAAGACTACATTTCTATTCTTTCTCCTAAAGAGGTACGTACCCCACAAGGGGCTTCCTCCCGGGAGGCCATTGGTAAAGTGAACCCTGTCAGTGTTGGGTCACCCAGGCACAGTGACAGCTATTCCAAAACAGAGATGACCACTCCGCCCGCACTCGTAGTATCCAGATGCCAGGGATCGTGGTCCCACAAGCGGGCTCTCAGTGGCCCCTGAAATCTGTGAAAGCTTTTGTGCCTCTTTCTGGAGAAAGTATTCCTGACTTTCACCAGATTCTCCAGAAGGGGGAGTCTATGCATTTTATTGTAAACACTGTTTAAAAACATTATACCCTGTAAGCATTTCTTTAAACAAAATTATCCTTTTATTCTGAGCACCAATATTTTTTACAGGTATTTTTATTTGAATAGAAATAGCCTCGCTAATATGACACAGAGGTTTTACCTGGGTTGTCCTTCCCTTAGAGCAGAGAGACTGTCGGGGGACATCAGTCAAGCTTCCATCCCCCAGTTTTTGTTCCTTCAAATCTAAAATCTATGGGGTCAGGGTGATTTTCTTACATTTTTTGGAGATTTATTTATGTGAGAGCAATGGTGCGAGTGAGTGGGGGGAGGGGCAGAGGGAGAGAGAGAGAGAGAATCTCCAGCAGACTCCCTGCTAAGCATGGAGCCCGACACGGGGCTCGATCTCACGACCCCGAGATCATGACCTGAGCCAAAACCAAGAGTCAGAAGCTCAACTGACTGCGCCATCCAGGCAACCCTAGCTCCTTCTTTCTTTAAATTCCAAGTAGAATTCCAAATTCTTTACATTCTTGAGTGGAATAGTAAGGTAGACCAGGGTTATTCATGGAAGCAGATCATAAAGACCTCCTAAGTTTAAACTTTGGACTTACCCTGAGTGCATGGCCAAGTCAGTGCCAGGTCTGAAGTTGGAGAGCCAGAATGGGGTTTGTACTTTAGAAAAAGCCCTCTGACCAACCAGTGGGGTGATTTTGAGGGGCACTCAGGAGGCAGGAGACCAGTTAGGAGGCCAGTGAACCAATCCAGCAGGAAATGGTGAGTGACCTCCCCAATGGGCTTGGCAGAGAAGAGGGACGAGGTGGAGAGACCTGAGAGGGGTTAAAGAGGCAGGGTCCCCGAGACTTTGTGACTGACTACAGAGCCAGAGGGAAAAGGAAGGATGAGAAGGACTTGGAATTGGATGGACATAAATAGTTCTCTTCCTTCACAAGCTACACAAGAAAGAGATCTGGAGATGCAATCTGTGTTGAATGTAGAGTTAGCCTTTGAACAGCACGGGGTTGTGGGCACTGACCCCACACAGTCGATAGTCTACTAATAACTTTGACTCCCCGAAAACTTAACTACTAAGAGCTTACTGTTGAGGCGCCTGGGTGGGTGGCTCAGTCGTTAAGCGTCTGCCTTCGGCTCAGGTCATGATCCCAGAGTCCTGGGATCGAGCCCCGCATCGGGCTCCCTGCTCAGCGGGAAGCCTGCTTCTCCCTCTCCCACTCCCCCTGCTTGTGTTCCCTCTCTCACTGTGTCTCTGTCAAAAAATAAATAAAATCTTAAAAAAAAAAAAAAAGAGCTTACTCTTGACCAGAAGCCTTACTGACAACATCAACCGTCAATTAACACGTGCTTTGTATATGTATTCTGTACTGTATTCTTACAATAAAGTTACAGAAAAGAATGTTTACTCAGAAATCGTAAGAGAAAAATGCACTTACAGTATTTATCAAAAAAAAAAAAAAATCCGCTATAAATGGACCCATGCAATACAAAAGCATGTTGTTCAAGGTCAACTGTATTGAATTACCTGTGTGTGGGCACAAGGGGCTTTCCAGGAGGAAAGTGGGTGTATGCATCTGGAAAGATAGATCACTGAAGTCAATATTTACTGATCTAGCTAGTCCTATTTTCAGGTTTATACGAAAGAAGAGTGTGTGCGTCGTAGAGCATCAACACTGTCATGGCCTCCTGGGGCCGAGCTGGTCCGGCTAAGGTTCTTCGCACAGAAGAGAAGATGTCTATGTGTGCATCTCTGCAGCCTGTAGTCTTGTTTATCTGGCATCCTACGGGGAGAGTCTGAGCCCAGGAGCTTGCTCTGGTCTGAGACAGCCTTTTCTAGGATGAGCAAAGCATCAGAGAAAAAAAAACCCAACTTCTTCTTAAGGAACTTAATGAACTCCAAGGACCTTAAATTAATTCTCATTAAATCCCCACCAACTACCATCTCCATTATCCCCTTTATGGAGGAGTTCATTAGGGTGCAGCTTACTTTTTGCCCCAAGCCCCACAACTAAGCAGTGACATAGCTGGGACTTAAACACGGGCCCTGACATTCCGCATGGAGCACTGGGTGTTATGCACAAACAATGAATCATGGAACACTACATCTAAAACTAATGATGTAATGTATGGGGATTAACATAAGAATAAAAAAAAAAGAAAAACACGGGCCCTGTGCTCTTAACTCTTCCACGGCGCCACAGTTAGCGTCCGCTCACCAGCCAACCTGACGCTCATTCCCAGAAATCTGCGACTGTGTTCTAGCTGGCTACAGCCTGGGACCTCTAGGGTTTAGCCCTAATGCTATTAGGAAATTAGCAAGGGGTAAGTCTGTGCACGCTACTTTTTTCTTCAAAGGACACAGTACAATCACTTTAAAGAGGGAAAACAATGTTGTGGTTTTCTAAAGCAGTGTGATCCCCACCAGCGCTACCCAGAACTTGTGACAAATACACATTTTCAGGCCCCTCCCCAGACCCACTGAGTAGGAAACTCTGCAGGTGGGGGCCAGCAATCTGTTCAACAGGCATTCCAGGGCCTTCTTTTTTTTTTTTTTTTAAAGATTTTATTTATTTGACACAGAGAGAGATAGCGAGAGCAGGAACACAAGCAGGGGGGTGGGAGAGGGAGAAGCAGGCTTCCTGCCAAGCAGGGAGCCCGATGTGGGGCTCGATCCCAGGACCCTGAGATCATGACCTGAGCCGAAGGCAGACGCTTAACGACTGAGCCACCCAGGCGCCCATTCCAGGGCCTTCTGACACTGCTGAAATTTGAGAACTCCCTGCTCATTATGTGTTCAGTTTCTTTTTCAGCGATTTAGATTTTTGGATGACTCTGTTTGGTTTGGGATTTTTAAAAAACAGAACAAGCCATGGTGCGTTGAGGGTGGATTTCCAAAGAGAAGTATGTCTAATACCACTCTTATGTGTCTACTGACAGGTCAGCTTGGACTCCCGAGTAAGAGAAGTCATCAACAGGAACATGGTGGAGCCATCCCAACACATATTTGATGATGCACAACTCCAAATCTATACCTTAATGCACAGAGACTCCTATCCCCGGTTCATGAACTCTGCCCTCTACAAAGATCTGCTTCAGTCCTTAGCTGAGAAATCGGTTGAAGCATAGGATGTTATCAAATATATTTATTATTAATAAAATAATAAAAAAACTGATGGACTACATCTAGTACAGGGAACTTAGAGGTAGTAGTACCTTCTGCTAGAGTAATACTTGGGCTGTTTTAATAAACAGATGCTTGCTTTTACAGAAGACTATATATTCACAGTGTAAACAGTGGCCACCTGTAGTGATACTTTTGAAAAAAAAAAACGGGGTATGGCTATCTTAGAAAAAGATAGGATATTTACATTTACGGTCATCGCAGCATGTTGTCAATGGCAAAGGACACTCTAGAAGACTCTCTACTGCCTGGGGCGTGCACGTCCTCTGGAGCCAACCAGACCGCCTTTGTTTTGCATGAGTGCAGTTATCTGATGACTCTCCTCCCAAGGAAAAGGCGTTCAAGTGTTTCTTAGCTACTCCTTCCTTCCGTCCAGCTGTTTTGAGTATTTTGCTTCTCAGTGCCACCACAGGACCCAAATTCCCATTTTATAAAGATGTGTCACCACTACTCATAAAAATGGAATTTCACTTTTATCTTAGAATCCGTGTATGTATGTGCACGTGTGTCTGTAACGGTTAATGAAAGTCCTGTGCTCTTAAGTGGATCGGTCGCACCTGTTTGGTAAGAGAAGTAGTGTTTAGAAAATTCTTTTGTTGAAAAGTTAGCATGATTTTATTATCAGAATCTGCCAACCTAAAGAATGAATTTTTAATTCACAACTTAGTCGCGTTCGTAACAGAACTTTGAAATGAGCATATTTCCATTTTTATTATTCAAAGAAATACAGGCATTTTCAGTCTAAAAAAATAAAGCACAAGAGTTTTAGCTCCATTTTTATTCCACATGTTAAATATTGGGGACTATAAGATGAAGTAAGTAGGGAGATATGCAAGGTATCATTTTAGCTCCCAGACTAGGATTCTGATTTTAGATCCCACTATTTTTTTTTAAAGATTTTATTCATTCGTCAGAGAGAAAGAAAGAGAACACACGCACAGGCAGAGGGAGAAGCAGGCTCCCCGCAAGCAATGAGCCTGATGTGGGACTCAATCCCAGAACCCCAGGATCATGACCAGAGCCGAAGGCAGACGCCCAACCGACTAAGCCACCCAGGCGTCCCTAGATCCCACTATTTTTAATTGTAGGCAAATGGAATAACTTTAACAACTTCCAGGTAAAACTAGTGGTTTGTATCCCTGAGTCATCCTGAAGAAACCCATCACTGCAGTGAATGGGAAAGACATCCAAAATCTGGAACGGTTTGAGTAGTGGGTTAGAAATTACATGCAAGGGGTCCACAGCAGGCTTCACCCTATTGGGGGGGGGGCCCTCTTTCCTCCTGGTTACCCTCACCTGGCCTGACGATTACTTCATTACTCTCTTCAAGCCCCAGACTAAGCCCCTTGCCCTCATTCTCAGTGAAACATCTTACTTCCTACTTTATGGTGAAAATGGGTCCCCACCAGCTTCATCTTCCCATGTAAACTACAAATATGTCTGGATGGGCATCTGTTCTCACCTCCATCAGTCCAGTCCCAGGGAATAATGTGCTCTTTCCTCCTTTTCAAGGCATCAACCCCTTACATGTGCTTTTAATGCCATAGTCTACAGCTCATTTTTTCACTAGACAGAGGACATAATTGTGATTGAGGTTATAAACTCTGCCCTCTGGTTTACATTTAAGTAAGGATGACAGGTGTCCATGGCTGCTACAGTATACTTAGCAAGTACTGTAACAGGGAGGAACTGAGCCAGAGAAGTCTTGAGGGGCTATGGATTTTGGCAGAGGGTGTGACAGGGGGTGGGGGTGGGGGGCGGTGGGGGGTGGGGGTGTAGGGAAGGCATTTGTAATTGAAGCAACCCCAGATGAGTCTAGTTGCAGACATGCAGCGTATGAAGTGTCTGTAAGACAGAAGATGTCAAGACCTCAGTTGGACGGAGGGACCTGGGTGGCCAAGATTTTAGGCTGGAGTATTTGGGATTTTTCCAACACAGATGAGTAAGATTGCCAGGCGAGTTCTAGCATGAAAAGAGCTGAAGGTAAATCCTGGCATCAATGGACCAAGAAACAAAGAGTTTCCAAAGAAAATTTAGAAGGATTTGCCTTCTCGGTTCTGGTAAGAAAGTGGGGATATGGCAGCAAATGAACGTGTCGGGGGCACATAGTGGTCAGTTAAACGCTCTTACCTGGAACTCCGTTCCCTCTATACCCCCACGCTCCTGTGTCCTCAACTTCACCTTGGGTTTTTCCCATACCATGTGCATCCTCTGATTCCCCAACTAAAAACAAGCCTGTGTCACATGAATTGCTGACTCCCCTTCCTCTCTCAGCAGACTCGGCACTCCTGCTGTCTCTATTTGCTCATCTCCGCAGGCACTCCTTGAACCTCGGCAGCGCACCCACCCCCCATGGCGGGGTCTCCACGAGCCCAAGCCTGACACCACCGCGTTCAGGGTTGAAGGCCCAGCTCCCTGACACTGACCCTGCCTCACCGGAAACACTACTTCCTTGTCTTCCATGCTGCTCTCGCTGTTCTCCGTGTCCTCCTCCTCTCCCTCCGCTCCCTTCCCAGCCAGTGGGGCACAGCAGCTAAGGGTTTGGGCTGTGGAGCCAGACTGACTCCTGCTCACGGCCTGATGGTGGGTACGTAGTCTTCGTGGGCCTATTTCCTCGTCTATACAAACGGGGATAATAATGGTACCTTATCCCTAGCATTGCTGTGCAGATTTGTCCCCCCAAAGGAGGCAGAAGTTCAGAGAGTACAGTGAAAGGGAGTGGCGGGCAGGACAGCCAAGGAGAGACTGCTGGCTTGCTGTGCAGATTCAAACTAACGCACATGGGGGCACCTGGCTGGCTCAGTCAGCAGGGTATGCTATTCGTGATCTCAGGGGTGTGCGTTTGAGCCACGTGTTGGGTGGAGAGATTATTTAAAAATGAAATCTTTAGGGGCGCCTGGGTGGCTCAGCCAGTTAAGTGTCTGCCTTTGGCTCAGGTCATGATCTCGGGGTCCTGGGATGGAGCCAACACGCTCATGGCTCCCAGATCAGGACCTGGGGTACACTTCCTGTCGCTTTTCATAATCAGCTGCCAGGTCGACATCTCCCCTTGCATATCCCATAGAGGAGTGGGATTCATCTAAATTCTGACTTGTCATCCCACTGCCCCCTTCCCTCCAAGCCCCACCCCTGCCTAAGTCCCCAATCACTCAGCCAGTCACCTAAGCTCTTCTCTAGGTGCTAACTTCTCCCTTCTTTCTCCTTGCAGACACAGTCACCGAGCCCTGCTGATCTTAACTCTGAAATATTTCTCATGTGTCTTTCCTTCTGATCCCCATTACCTCACACCTGCCAGTATCATTGCCAAGAGCCTCCTAACTGGTCTCCCTGCCCCCATCTCAGCATTTCAAATCCACCTTTCAAAATGCCACAAGGTGACCTTTCTCACCGCAAATCTGCTCGTCACCCTCCATCTGCTCCTTAGAATCTTCAGTAATTCCTGACTGCCCAGAGTACAAATACCAAATTCTTGGTATGGGATACATAGTCAGGCTACTGGCTTCCTAGCCAACCCCACACAGGGTTTAGACTCTAGAATATATATAGACAAGTATATATTCATCCTTTCATACTGCTCATACTGTTCATACTTTCTGCTACCCCTACCCCTCTCTACAATGTCACCCTTCACTCAGCGAACTCCTGTCATTCCTATAAGATTTACCTCACACATCACTGCCTCCAAGAAATCTTACCTGACCTCCTGATTCATACTTCCATTGCACTGGGTGCCATTCTCAGGTATTCCAGGATTTTCCAGTAGAATACTTATCATCTGAGTTTACAAATTATATTGACATACCTGTCTTTCCCATTAGACTATAAGCTCCAGAGTCATTGAAAATATACCTCATCCCTCATTATATAAATATATAGATGTAATTATGGAACAAAAATTCCATTCAAAATTTGTTTCACAATATGTCACATCTCAGAAAGAGATCATTACAGCCCACGTGGCTATAGAGCTCACTACCACTACATATCAGTCCAGTGGGTAAATCGCTAGTGACTTCTACGTATATGAAAGAATCCTGAAGCAGCCCCAAAAGGATCCTACAAATTCAATGCAATTCTAAGGTTTTTAAGAATTCTTAAGTAAACTTTGAAAAGCTTATTTTGTTGGGATGGACGGCGCTCCTTTTGGGAAAAAAAAAAAAATGGATATATAAACAAATATGAGTTCCAAACCATTTAAAAGCTTTTAAAAAAGAGAACATTGTAAGAATATTGGAAGAAAACGTAGGCAATATTTTTATAACTTCAGATGGAAAAGGTCTTCCTAAGCAAAACATAAAACCCAGAAACTATAAAATACTAATAGACTGGATTATATGAAAAAAATTTAAATTCTGTGCCACAAAGACAACATAAAAACAATTAAAACACAAATATCAGGCTATAAAACACACTAAAAATTACTATGCAGCATGCATTAGGAGTGCCTACAAACTAACAACTCTATAGACTAAAAAGGAAAGACAATAAAAACAATTAACAGAAGATCAACTGGCTATAAACAAAGATGAGCATAATAAATACAAAAAGATAATCATACGAACTTGAATTAAAATGAGAGGATACTGGTTACTATTTGCTCCCTAGATTTGCCCAAACCAAAAGGTTTGATAATATCTAGTATTAGCAAAAGTGTCAAGAAATGGGCCTTTATATCCTGTTTATATCTGTTATATCCTGGTAAACTAGTTTGACTTTTTGGAAAGCTATCTGGCAATATCTATTATTCTGAATGTACATATCCATTAGCTAGCCAGCTAAACTTTTAAGAATCTATCCTACAAAACATCAAAACAAAAACTACCTACAGGGAAACAGTCTTTAAAGGAAATGTTATATATGCGCATAGACTGCTCTCTGGTGAAAATGTTGTTTTTTTTTTTTTTTTAAAGATTTTATTTATTTGACAGAGAGAGACACAGCGAGAGAGGGAAAACAAGCAGGGGGAGTAGGAGAGGGAGAAGCAGGCTTCCCCGCAGAGCAGGGAGCCCGATGTGGGGCTCGATCCCAGGGTCCTGGGATCACGACCTGAGCCAAAGGCAGACGCTTAACGACTGAGCCACCCAGGCGCCCCTCTCTGGTGAAAATGAATCCCATACATCTATATGCACTCACAAGGAGTGTTCTCAGGTCAACTGTTAAAGGAAAAAAACAAATTGTAGGATATGTATGTGTGCCTATTTATGTTAACATTATGGCCATTTGAGAGGCACCTGGCTGTCTCAGTCAGTGGAGCATTCAACTCCTGATCTTGGGGTCATGAGTTCGAGTTCCATGTTGGGCACAGAGACTACTTAATGAAAAAATATATTTTTTTTGGGCGCCTGGGTGGCTCAGTTGGTTAAGCGACTGCCTTCGACTCAGGTCATGATCCTGGAGTCCCGGGATCGAGTCCCGCATCGGGCTCCCTGCTCGGCAGGGAGTCTGCTTCTCCCTCTGACCCTTCCCCCTCTCATGTGCTCTCTTTCAAATAAATAAAATCTTTAAAAAAATATATATATATATATTTTTTTTTAAATGGCCATCCTAAAAAAATTCCCTCATTGACCTAGCTGGGTACTGTTTCAAGGTATTTACAAATTATTGTTTGGCCCTTCTTACTCACAATTCTAAGGTAGGATGGTGTTCCCCTTTACAGAGGTTAAGTTCCTTGTTCCAAGTCTCACAGCTCTTAACCACTATGCAATGCCGATTCCCTAGGAAAGAGGACTAGAAAGCCTAGTATGAG